AAAGCTAGGTAGGTCTTGCCCACTATAAAAGGGGTTGCTTGCCCTCTCCTCTCTCTCTTGCTCTCCTGCTCCTTTACCTTCTTGCTTCTCCTCTGTCCCCACACCTCTTCCCCCTTCCCTTTCCCCTCTCTCAATGTGCTTATGGTAAGCCTCTACCTCTCTCTCTCTCTCTCTCTCTCTCTCTCTCTCTCTTTCTCTCTCTGCCTCTCCCTGCCTCTGCTACCCTCTTAAATCCAATCCTCATGCCCTGAATTAACTCTATTTAGCAGTGGCCCGCTGAGACATCCCTTCCCCCATACCTCACCACACATCCATAGAACATATTCTATATCTCTTTTATCTTTTTATAAACACATTAACTTTGATGGATGAGCCCTTGTAGACAAAGCAGAAGAGATTACATTTGAGGAAAGATTTCTGTTATGGATATATATATATATATATATATATATATATATGAATCATTAGGTATTAGCCTACAGTTTTGAGCAGATTTCTACAGATTAGTAAAGATGTGCTATCTTGTAGCGATGCTATGTATACAAACAGATAGTTTCTTAGTTTTTAAATGATGATCCTATAAGAATTCTTAAATTGTACTAGAAATGAACTTCTATTATTATTATACTATTATTAAAGCCCTTTGTGATATGAAAACTGCAATGAGCACTCTGCCGGTCTTCAAATGCTATTGTAAAGATTAGATTAGATGAGCAGAACTTCCTCCCCCCTTGAAAAGATACCAGGTGGCTGTTGAGCTCAGGGTCAGAGAATTTCAGAAACGCCTTGAACCAGGAAATGATTCAGCTGAGGTAGGGGTAAGACTCTGGTAAGAACTGGTATTATTATGAGATAATTGCTTTTCTGCTAGAAAGCAGACATTTACAATTTAGAGCATATTCCAAGAGGTTGTAAAACCATTACCCAAAGTCATAAAAGGGAACTAACAATTTATCATGGGTACAAGGACAAAATATTGTCTGGATTTATCTACACAAAACTTCAATGATAACTTAGTCACAAAAATTATTGTTGTTAATTTTAAATATACATGTAGAGCTAGTGACAGATTATTAGTGTTTGGCCAGATAACTTGTTTTAATAAAAACACTTGTTTTCTTTCTTAAGCAAAACATTCCCTGTTGCAACTTCTTATTCAATTTATGGTGGAAATTTTTAAATAATGTCATGATGAAATTTTTTCCATGTGAATATGTATAATGAAAGATGAATAAGATGCCTAGGAGAAAGAAAGTGGAGAGTGAATTATTGGAGAAGAAAATTTGGGGGACAGAGAATTTTAAAAAAAAAGAACTTAGAAATAAAGATTAAAATCACTTTTCTAAGTGTCTCTTTTTTTTATTCCTCTGAATGATTTTCAGTAACAGACTGGGAGCTGTAGAAATAACAGGTTTGAACCATGAAATTCCTGTGGAGATAAGTACAAAGGATACTTTACTTAACTTCCTGCTGTTTAACCATGAGTTGCTAAACAACAGAAATTCTGCAGTATATGTCCTCACAGAAACTAAGACAGACAAGCAGGCCAGTCAGTGCTGCAAAGTTAGAATTGAGAAATTTCAACATTTCATTATTAAAAAATAACCCTAATTTTCCCAAGACTAATTCTTGCTACCAGAGACAATCATTCCATTCAACTACCATTAAGAGAGAACATCGGAGCTAGCCTCCAGAACATGGGCCCCTTCCATTAACACAAGACTGATGCTTATTAACTTGTCACTCAACACTGTCCACTTGGACTTCTAATTGATTTCTTGAAATACAGCCTTGGCAGACTAATGTTTTTTCCCCTGTTCACCCATGGAGTTAGCTATTTTTATTTTCATTTTTATTTTTTTTTTACTGTGATCAATTTTAGGGCCAATATTTTCACCAGTTTCTTTATAAACTGAATCTGTGACTAAAAGTTTTATTTGATAGTAAAACAGCTTTAATTTAAATTTATTATTTTAAGTGCAAAATCTAAGTTACTTGTCTTATAATATACTTTTGTAAATTGTAAAAGATAATTAAGAAATATAAGTTGTCATTTACCTTATAAATTATCAAATCATTTAATGCATTCAGAACTAAATTACAGTAACTAGGCTTATTTTGTATCTATATATGTTTTCCAGATTAAGTTTAAGATGATTAACAAGAAACAAGCCATGTTTGTTTACATAGATATACTTTAGATAGATAAGTGTTTCTTAAACACTTCAAACATCTTTGAATGTGGCAATTAAGATGTTTTAATAACAATAGTTTTTTTTTAAAAAAAAGCTTTTTTGTGATAGAAAGACACATCAGGTCATGGGTAATATTTTTTTTCTCCTCCACTGATGATAATGAGCAAATAAAGAAGACTCACTGTGACCTTGCTCCAAATGTGCCAGAATTGTCCACTGTTCTACAAATTACCTGTTACCTTGACAGCTGAGAGCACACCATCCAAGTAGGACTCTGGCTATTCGATTGCCCCATGTTGACTCAAGATGGTAAGACATTCCTACCAAGTTCTTAATTCATAATTAAGACTGTCAGACCTTCTGGGCTCAGATGTCAGATGTATGTCCTCACAGACTGTCCTGGTAGCCAGTATATCTTTGTCAATTTTATTAGATTTAGAAGCTGCTTTTTGCACACAGTCTGCTTACTCAGGTTAAAAAGATGACTTTTAGTTCTTTGATTCTTTGAAAACTCAATGAGTGTCAGACTTCAAAAGGTCAGTGCTTAACATTAATCAATTGAGATCAGATAATATTGTCATAGTCACACAGAAAACCTTACATTACTTTTGGTTGTTTTCTTAGTTGGTATTTTATTGCTTTGAGCAGACACTGTGACCAAGACAATCTTTATAAAGACCAACATTTTACTGAGGCTGACTTAAAGGTTTAAATGTTCAGTCCATTATCACCAAGGTGGCAGTAAGGCGGTATACTGGCAGGCTTGGGATGGCAGGAGCTAAGAGTTCTTTATCTTGATCTGAAGGCAATTAGAAGATTGACTTCTAGCCAGCTAGGATAGGGTCCTCAAAGGCCATACCTACATTGTTACACTTTATTCAATAAGGCCACAGGTACTCAAACAAGGCCACACATCCTAATAGGGCCATTTCCTGTGCTAAGGATATTCAAACTAACACCATTGTCTTCTAAGTATGAACTTAAGTGGTTCTTTTCATTGTGGACCTTTGACACAAACCCTCTAAGTACATAGAACACAACCAGGTAGGATATACAGTAGGAGAAGGGCTTTTTGTGTTCTTGAATTTGGGTTGTGAGAATTTCATTTGAGTATTTTTGCATTTACTCATAAGTGAAATTGACCTGAAATTCTCTCTCTTTATTGAGTCATAGTGAGGTTTTGGTGTCAGAGTAACTCTGGTTTTATAGAATGAATTAGGCCTTGTTCCTTCTGTCTATATTTTGTAGAATTCTTTGAAGAGTATTGGTTTTAGGATTTATTTCAAACTCTTATGTAATTCTGCACTAAATCCATCTGGCCCTGGGTATTTTTGGTTGGAAAGTTTACAATGACTGTTTCTATTTTGTTGGGGGTTTGGGGACCACTTACTTGATCTTGATTTAATTTTGGTATGTAGTATCTGTCTAGAAAATTATCCATTTAATCTAGATTTCCCGGTTCTGTCATATACAGGCTTTTTAGAATTTTTCTGATTATTTGTTTCAATTTCCTCTATTTCTGTTGCTATGTCTCTCCTTTCACTTCTGATTTTTGTTAATTTGGGTACTTTCTCTGTGCCTTTTAGTTTGTCTAAGAGTATATCTACTTTTGTTCAAAGTTTTGAAATACAGAAGAACTGGACATTGTAAATATAATACTTACCCTGATAGTTCTCATATTTGATTTTTGTGTATATAGCTTACTGACATAAGAGATAACACCATTTACTGGGCTAAAGGGTGGAGACATTGGGATAACTTATGTCCCCACATACAGTATCAACTTGCTGTGAAGATGTGTCTCTGTATTCACAGTTGTTTATTACTGTTTTGCAGTGCCAAGTGCTGGCAGGATATAAGGTATTGTCATTTCTACAACTCACAATTTCTGCTTTTTTTCTATGTAAATATTCGTAACTTTCTCAGCTTCCCAAAAATGATGATTCTCTGAATTATCATTTTTAAAGGTACACTTCAGTGGGAAGTGTCACATAGCCTTCAATCTGGCAAAAAAGGGAACACTACATGGCAGAGTCCTGTTGCTGATTAGTTTATTATGAGTAAACAGTGCAGTATGGCTTTTGACAAATAAAGATCTGACAGGTATATCTATGGCTGGGTAGGCAGGAAGAGGGTAGAATTACAGGGTTACTGAAAAGAGATGCACAAAAACTGAAGGACAGCAACAGGGCAAGGAAATTGTACATAGAGAGCCACATGATAGGGACTCAGTGGGAAAAGATTTTGGCCTAAAAGGGTAGATAGGAGACTGTACAGGTAAAAATGCCAGCAACGTTATATCTTACAGACATCTATGTGCCTTTACTGTTAAACTCTAAATTTGAATCACTCAAAATCCCTGCAATAATTACTATATAATGGTAATACCTTTAATGATTTCTTTTCGGCCCTTTGTATTCTCACTTAGTTGGCCTCCTCTGAGAGAACCTGTGGGAAACCATCCTAAGTTGTTTTCACCTGAAAATATTCTTGGTTCGTATTTTCAGTAAATTTTTCCCAAGAGGAGTTCAACCCTAATCTTTTGCTCCTTGCAGTCTTTGCTGAAGTCATAGCCGTTGACTATGGAAGATTATAAACAAACATATTTTCCAACTTATTTTCACCTAAATAGAGGTTCTCAGCTGCTGAGCCTAAGGGAAGAAATTGTTTTGAAATTAAATAATTAATGTCACAAGGTCAACCATCAACAAAGTTCAAGACACAATGTCAAAAAAAAACAGAAACTGAACATATATGTACTGGACAAAGAATGATCTGCAGCATGTAGACCCATGTAACAATAGGATGTTCTCCTTGATTTTTATCACCTGGGTCTTGAATATTCCCAAATTTTCCCCTTCCATTATCACAACCAATATCAGTACATGCTATTACATAACGAGAGAACATTTTCACCATGAAGGAGATGTGGTGATTGGTGCTTTTTTTCCTATTCATACTTATTACACTACAAAGAAAGTCCCGCATTCATTTCTACCATACTATTATATCGACAATTATGTACAGTAAGTGCATTTATTCATTTTTCAGATTTCAAAATTCTTATTAATTAATGTGTGTAGTCATTTAAATGTATCTATTATCTCTATACATATGCATACATACATATCTATCTATAGTTAAATCTATATATGTTAACATTTTTAAAGATTCTAAAATCTATTCTTCAATTTTTGTTTTCATTTTGATTTGCTTTTCTCTCTCAGGGGAAATGACTTTATTCATTTTAGGTCCCTCATTTGAGTGATAGCTGTAACTTCGTGTTTGACATTCCTGTTATGACATAATGTCTGAACAGTTTTCATATTATTGTTTCAAGATTGACTTACTCTAAGCCTAACCGTGTTGGTCATAGCATTTATGATGTCCTGATGTGCTCTTGAGATAGGAACTGAAATCACTGTATGGATTAAGTCCCGTGTATTTGTTGTGATGCTTGAGTGAAGAAGCTGTCTTTTGTGACATGCAGCTGAATCCAAACTTAGATTGTCACAAGTAGAATTTGTGAATATGTCTATGTTCTACAGATATTTCATCTATCTCATCTTTTCCTTTAGGTGTTTGTTAGCCAATATTTTTTATTCTCAGAGAGCTTTCCTGCATTTACCTATTTAGGACATCTGTTTGCAGTATTTATTCACATTTTTATGAATGTGTTTACCAAGACAATTGATATAAAGTAGTTGTCATTTGACAATTTCTTAACTTGTTTTACATATTCCAGATTAATAAATGGTAACAAACAGGTCTTATTGAATTAGAGAGAGAGATTTGCATGTTTCTTGTTAAACGTTATCAGATTTCTTTACCCAAATAAGACCTTTCTATCCCATTAAAGTCTTCTTATGTCTGTACTGATCCAGTAAGTAAGACCCTAAAACAGAACAATAACACTTGCAAATTCCCCTCTGAACATATAAGGAAATGTATTGGGAGTTAAGGAGTAGAAAGTGAACAAAGTATAGAGGTGTGAAGGTGAAATATGGTCAGTTGATGATAATATGTATTGGGTAAAATGTCAGTGAGTTATTAGTCATTACATGAAGAAAAAAGAGGAGAAAAATTTTTAGATATAAAAGCATATTGAATATTTTCCTACCTTTACAAATTTATTTTGAAAAGTTAGCATGTAACAAATATGGCTAATCAGAATTTGCAATTTAGATAAAATATTTCATGGTAGGTATAATTTCCTTTTTAGGGAATCATATTCTCTCTCAAATAGCATGACAAAATTTTCTCATATGTGAAACAAACTTGTTACTTTAGATAGTGGGTGGAACCTCTTCTCTTTCATCATCATTAACACTACTTAAAATCCCACATTTCCTCTGGAAATTACTCTCACAATTCAGGCACCAATGTACATTGATATATGCTTCTCTATATTGTACAGCATTAAGCCCTTTGCTTCAAAGGCTATTCTTGCACTTAGGTGATTATCTAGTGACTAGCTTGTTCATTAAAAATAAGAGGATCATTTCCTGTCAAAAATATTTAAGTTGTCATTGATTCAGAAATATATAAGTTCATGAAAGAAATGCAGTAACTTTTAGCATAAAGAATTGGTAACATTATTTCGTTTAATTCATTTACTAAGTGTAATATATTTTGATATTGAACTGATGAGAAAGGCAAATATACCAAAGCTGAAAACCATCTTTTTTTCCTTCTAAGTTAATCCTTTATTTACCTGTTTGGAATTTTTTACACATTACAGAGGTATGATTTTTTCTGTATTGATTTTTTAATTCTTTATACACGTTGTGAGCTTAAATGAATTCCTTATTATTACTAAACTTTCATGAGAATAATTGGGCTGTCATTATATTCAGAAACATTATCCTTTTTATGTTCATAATTTCTAAGTGGATCTTTTCTAGGTTATCATAATTGAATGAGTACCAAGTAAGTATTTGTTGTATAGAATACACATTATTAATGTAGAATAATTTTAATAAAAAAGTACTTATTTCATAGTCATATTAATGGTACAGCCATTTCACATTTAGAGATATACTTTTGATGCAGCTGACATTCCCAATTTTCTCATCTCACAATGAGTGTGCTGAGGTTACACTTAGGTAATCTGAACCAGTCTTACAATCTTGTACTAGGTAAGCCATTTTATTGGCCCATATTTTTAATCTTTTCATTAAAATACCTTGTACTTTTCAATATCAAACTTGCAATTCCCTCTCAGTGTTTCTGAGAGTGAACTGTTTTCTTTCACATCTCTTTATGATGCTGAAAGTTTATCTATTTTTATTAAGGCTAAGTTTCCCATCATAAGGCAGCTTGTCCATCCTGTGTATGAGCTCATACCCTGCTTACACATACTCCATAGCTTTTATCATTCTCACCTTCATTTTTTACTAGGCAAATGCTCAAGCTGAAAGCATGACTTCTGTATTGATTTTTAGATTAACTCTACTGAAATTGTGCTTAGTAGTTAAAGACTTTTTCATTCTGTATAATTTTAATTGTACATATTTATTTTAGAGCCGGACATTTGGTAGGGGATAATCAATTGGTGTATTCTTTCTTATAGAAGAATATTGCAGTTTGTGCAGACTATTTTACAGCATTCCTTAGTTACCTATAGGTTTTTGTTCTTGCAGTGTTGTTTCTGTGTTGTAGTGGTGGTCAGTGTGTGTGTGTGTGTGTGTGTGTGTGTGTGTGTGTGCTTGTGTGTGTGTGTGTGCTTGTGTGTGTGTGTGTGTGCTTGCATATATGAGTGTGCTATCAAGTCCTGGGCATTACTAAAAGAATAATCTGTGAATTAAGAAAGAGTCAGTATGTTACTAAGGTTTTGTATAGAGCAAATGGAAAAGGGAAATGCTGCCATTATATTATAATATAAAGGGAAGAGATAATGAAAATAGATGTCATTTTCAAAATCATAAGATGTGCTTCCATATTATAGCTCTGTGATCAGAGATTATGAGCGCCTCTGTTGTCTTTAGTATGAAATGCATTATAGTGCTTTTAACTTAATTACTTAAATTTTTGGAAATATCAAAATTAACATGTGTTTTTAAATTTATTGATTGATTTATTTGAAAGTATAACATTTGTAGATTAGAAATTATTCATCAATTCTTTTCCAGTGAACAATATTATTTTATTTATTTCTACCTGTCTAATTATTTTCAAAAATTTTATTTACTAAATTTGTTCATAATATTTTTTTGGTATATAATAATTATTTATAAAATTGTTAAATGCCAATTAACATAATTTCTAAACACAAACCTTCAGTAAAAAAAAATGCCATTTTAGTAAATGTAAAATATGTTTCAAAGTAGATAGCATAAGCAATGTTTATATACTTCAGCTGTCAGGTCATTCATCTATTGTTTCTTTTCATATTAATATTATTCAGATTATATTTCTTTTTATTTATGTGTGTGTGTTTGCATTTGTATGGGACTATGTGTGTTTAAAAGTATAATACTTTAATGCTGGTACTTAATGTGTCCAGAACTGATATTGGATCCTCTAGATTTAGAGTTTTGGATGGTTGCAAGATACCTAAAATGATTTCTGGGAACCAAACTTGGATTCAATAGACAAAGAATTCTCTTGATTGCTGAATCACTTCTCACCACTGCATATTGTTTCCTTGAAAATTTTAACCATAATATATTTATCAGGTAATCAATATATTGATCATATTCTTCAAAGCCTGTACCTAGTACTATATTTACCTTTCCTGACTTTATTCCTCTATACACTCATCTTTAATTTTAACATTTTCTCTTCAATCAATCCCATTTTGTGTTGTAAAGGTACTCTAGAGCATAGGGGTAACACAGAATATGAGTTTACTAGCACAGATCAAAATACTAAAGAAACCTGACACTTCTTCCAGAAGTTATCAAATTTCAATACTGTTGTACTTTGAGTAGAATGGCCTCATATACTCATGTGTTGGATTGATTAGCCCAAACCGATTGGCACATTTAGAATGGGTTATCTTGTTCAAGTAGATGTGGCCTTAAAGGAAGTGTTTCATTGTTTGTGAAGGGGTTAAAGGTTGAAGACACACAAGTATAGCATATGTCTTCACTTCTGCTGCATGATAATGAAAATGTAGAGCTATCATATCCTTGTCTAATACCACATTTCTGGATTTTGCCATGCTTCTGACAAAGATGAAATGGAAGAAAAACAAAACCAAACAAACAAACAAACAAAACTCTGAAACTGTTAATGTTTTCCTTTTCTATGAGTTGCCATGGTCTTAGTGTCTCTTCACATCATTTAAACACAGTAACACAAAAGTTGAAATTGGAGATTGGGTTATTTCTATGATAGGCAATTCTTTTTGTTTGGGGCAATATTGACTTATAGACTTTGGTTTAGGAAAGCAATGAAATGCTTTAGCACCTGCATAACATAGAAAAAGTGTTGATGAGCCTGACTTGAATTTTGAATTCTTGACTCACGAGCTTTTAAAGCAGACAAATATTAGCATGTTGCCTAAATACTGTTACATATATATTTTTTGGCCCCTTGGCCTAGTCCAAAAGTCAGCCTGAATCTAAAGTGAAGAGATAGTTGTTAAATCCTTTGGCAGACAAAGTCTCAGCACAGCTTAATATTGATTCTGCTGAGTGGTTATTAGTGTTCTCTGTTAAGAATATTTGTAATGAAAAGGTGATAGCCGAGGAAGAAAAATTTTAAAAATATAAATATTATGGAGAAATCAGATTAAGAATTGAAATGGAGTTGAGTCCTCTGTTTGTATTGATTAAAGGAAACTTTAATGCTAAATGGAATATAGGGATTGGAGACCTCAGACAAAGATTCAGTTCAAGTAGGATTCCAACTTTTTTTTTTTTTAGCACAAATCAATATGATTTACTATATGATAATTTCAACAGATAAAATATACAATATTTTTTTCTGAAAGAAAGACACAAAAGCTCTTATTGGGTTGCAGTTTGAGTTCTACCATGACTTTGCAATGCCCTTTGACTGGATTTTGCAATTCTTGGGA